TGTGCTAAATGTGTGCACCGGCGCTGAAGCGAACGGCCTCTAATCATTCGCCATCTTCCACAGCATATTCTTACCCACACAGGAGCGATAAGGCTAAGCTTTATCCCAGGGACGGCTAGTCAAAACCAACAGATTTTCTTTAACTGATTGAGGAGGTGTGTAAATATTATTGTATTCAGGCTCTTATAATGACAATTAAAAAGGTACCAGGTAAAGTCAGCATAGGATTTCTCAGCCTTATCTTTTAGGATGCACTTGATTTTTGCAAGAAAAATGGATTTGTGGCAAAGATGCTCTCCATAAGCACGTCAAAATGACTCACTGGAAGTCTTGCTTCCAAAGTTCTGCAAACTTAGAAGCTCATCCTGGCAAACTGAACACAGGCACGTATTTTACACCTTTCTTCTTTTCCCAGGAATCTCAATGCAATCCTGTGCTACAGCTACGCTGATCAGCAAGAAGTTGATAGGAAGAAAGCAAAAGAGCAGGAAAACCCATCACCAGCTGTGCTAGTACTTCTGTCCCTAATCCCTGACGCGAGGTGGGTGACACTAGGGTGAGGCAGACCGAGTGCTGCCTTCATGAGACAGCAAGTGTTCAAAGATGCTGTGCTGAAAGACAAGTGTTCAAAGACGGCAAGAGCGCAAGCGTTCAAAGACACTGAGCACCATAAAGACCCTTGGGCTCGGCGCTCTGCCTCGGGGTGGGTCAGTTGTAGCCTTAATTCATTCTGAGGTGTCACTCCAGCCGGAAATGGAGCACGTTTACAATGCAGACTTAAAATAGGCTTCTTGATTGTCTCAGTTTCAATATAGTTCTGTGATTTTCTCTTCCCCCTTCACAATCCTCTTCCCCTTCTATAACTCAAATAAACGCGAGGCTCGGTTGCCTACGGCTTTCTGCTTTTCTCGTGCGCGCGGCAAGACTGCAACTTGGCAGCTCCAAGAGTATCCTGTCCTGTTGCCATCCGGCCCGTTTTCATCCTGCCTAACCTTCAGGCACTTTGCAAGGGTGCCCAAGCCAGGA